CCGGAGTTAAACCACGACATATGCTGAACTGGCTTTGTCAAGTATTTTAACCTGTTACCTAATATACAATTGCCTTTCACAAGAAGTACTGATTTAGGATAAGCCAACGCAAGTCACAATGAGGGAAATTCTGGCTAGGTTCACAGCAAGGGTGGTGAATGCAGGATGCCTAGCAAGGCTGCAAAATCCACATCCTTGGAGAGATTCAAAACTCAGATGGGACCTTGAGCGACTTGATCTCACTTGGAAACTGTGGCATTGCTTTGAGCAGGGGTTTGACAAGATGACCTCCTAAATTATTCTGTCATTGCATGACAATATAGAGGATGCCCATAGGCACATAGGAGGTATATCCATACCAGATGTCTTACTATCTGCTTGTTGTTTTTTCATCTTACATGAAGAGAGAACAGAGCATGACTGGATGTGGACATAAGATCACTGGACTTGAGGTATGATGATGGACAGCAGAGCTTTCAAAGGAAGACACCCATCCCTTTGTTCAGTTTAACATTGAGCCTAACTCAGTGTTAATTAACCACAACCGTTGTAGGACCATATTCTTCCCCTCAGACCTTCTCGATATATAGCCTGTCATGGGAGCAAGTAGTGGCTGAGAGCCCATGCTGGAAATGTGCCTGCTGACCATCACACAAGCACAGCTCTGGGATGCTTTCAGCCCCCTAGAGCAGCAAGTGGTTTGGGAAAAGAGATTTGAGAACCAAAGGCAATGAAGGAGCCACATGATAAAGTCAAGTGGTTTAGTTACACAGCTGGGCTGGAGATTTCAGTCTGTGCTCCCAGGGCAGCTTGTGCATTTTTCAATAAAGCAGCAGGCACAGCATATACAACACTTGGGCAAGATTTTGAATGGGATTCACCAGACCAAGAAACTACATCATGTAGACAAAACACCTACAAGGTGTTTTTAATTCAAAGAGAGACACACTCTCCCGCAGAGAGGAAGAGAAGCTGATGAGCAAACAGTGAGTGGTACCTTGCTTCTTTGACAGGCTCATCGGTCAGGTCGTGATACATTCCTACCAGCTCACTTTGCCTTCAAGTTAAGAAGAAGCAGGAAAAATAAATTTATATATATATGTATATATAAAATCTCATTGATGGACAGTTGCCAGCTCCCTCAACAACTCTGACCATCAGGTCTCTCTCTCATCTCAGCTGAGTGCTATAACCATTACTCCTCTCCTACACTTTCACTCTCCCAGAGTCAGATCTCCTCTTAACCATTAGCCTTCTGGCCCTGTGCCAGATTTCTGCTTTTGCATTCCTGGCTACATTAAGGCCCAGCTTAAGAAATGTGAAGGAGCATGCTCCCTGCCAGGACACTGAAATCCTCAGCAGGTAAGAGCTTGCTCTGAGGCTGTAGGTTCAGATCCAGACAAGCTGCAGAGGTCTTAAATGCAGAGCTTCCACGTTCTGAACCAAGGACCCTAACTTCCACGTGACCATGACATAGGTGGGCATTTACATCACTGACATTAGTTCTGGTCAGAAAAGGCTTTTGGGATTTGACAAGAGCACACAACTATAACATGACATAGGAGATTTATATTGTTCCCCAAGGCTACCACAGACGCCTGCCTAAGTATGCTTGCTTGTGCAGCCCCAACCAGCATTTATCTGTTTCCACTTGCAATAGGAGAACTCCAGCTATGGTAAAGAGAGCAGAAGCACCTGATCATTGGCCCTGGTCACACAAAGTTGATGAACAAACTAAAACAGAAAAGTTCAATTTAAGGTATCTTTTAAAAATTAACAGCAAGGAAAGACATTAATTCTAAACCTTCATTAAGGTTCTGAACCCACTCTGAATAATGAATGCCTGTATTCCCTCAAGTGATTGTGTTATTCATGGTGCCGGTTAGCGAAGAACTCGGAGCAAGTTCCTCCTGAACCAGTGCTAACTTAAATCATCTTTAAATAATTTCCCAAAGAGTTAAGTGCAAATGTTGCATCAGCAACGTGATAGAAAAAAAATCTGAATGTTCCTTCGTAAGCAAATCCAAAACTAAGAGGAAACTCAAATCAAAGCACAGGTTCTCAGACAGGCTGCTTGAGACCTTGTATTCCTCAATCTCAGAAACACAGGTGTAAGATACTACTAAAACAAGCTAAATTTAATTCAAGAAATTATTTCCTATATCCTAATTTAAAATTTTAAACAAACCTCAAAAGAGAGGAATATGTCCTCCATGAAGTGTTCTGCTGACTTTAAAAAAGATCTGTATAAATTAGCACACATGAGCAGCACTTTCTCATGAATGTTAATATAACCACACTAAATCCAATAAACATGAAGGGAGCAAAAAAATCGCAAGCAACATAGTTATTGCTTATCTGGAAGAAATGCAAGTTAGGATAAACAGGAATTTTATTTTGTCCTGGTGACACAGTAGCAGTTACACTTTCAAACTTCCATCACCAACATCCCATTGACTGCCAGTACAGTTTAGGCCCTGAAATGCTTCTATTGCTTTCTTACATAAAGATGAGGTTATTTCCAAAAGGTTATCAAGAGTAACTACTTTTCCATTTAAAGGAACCATACACTGTGCATTTATTTAACTGTAGGTGTCCCAAAAGCCTTCATGCTCTATCCCTTCCTCCCTACCCAGAGTCCACTGCCTGAGCCTAACACTCATCACATCGGACTTTATGATGTTTGGAAGTTCACTGAAGCAAGAAGCATGTCTAATGTTTATTTGTATGGTACCTAGTACACGCTTTTGGGCTGTGAGAACTATGTTGTAATTACTGCATTACCAAGCAGGGGAAAAAATTCCTCCAGTTAACAAGAAATAGTTTAAACTGATGATAGGGTGTTAACAGCTGATGCACACATATGCTTTCTGTAGGTGGCTCTTTACCATAAAAACATATTAAGTGCAAGACCTTCAAAGTAACTACAGTGTCTTCCTTCCCAAGGAAGTATATTAATATTAGAACTTCAACATCTGTTCTTAGAAAATTTTGAAGTGTCTGAATCCAGCTAATTAGCTGGCACAATTAGGAATAAAACAACTGACAGCCAATTCAACAGTACGCTGGGAAGATACAAGAGACTACACCTCTGACAACACTGAAATTTAAATACCTCTTTAACGTCCCTGGAAGATCCAGGCTGAATGGAATTTGATAGGAGGATGCTAACGTGTCATCCACAGCCTTGCTTATTTCCTGTAGTTCTCTCAAAGAAATGCAGCCAAGCAAAGCAGTCAGCTCACAGTCCTGTGACTGAATAAGTCTATCTTGTTCTTCAATTTCTCTCCTTAGCTGTTGATCTTTTGCTTCTAATATGGCCAGTCTTGCTCGAAGATCTTCGATTTCCTTCTGCATAAAACAAGAAAATAAGTTGACTGTGAACCCTGTTAAAGAAACTCCTCTGCCCCTACAAAAATGCAGTCCAAGTCTCAACAGTAGCATGAATTAAAGGTTGTCCAATTTAGCACTACATTAAATGAGAAGACATTCTTTTGTTGACACACAAAACATCTTATGCCTGTTGTATTTAGAAACTCCAGTGCTTCCACAGTCTGAAACTCCACACTTCCATTTTAACACCAAAGTTCAGGTTCCTCTTCCAACAACGGTCAGTCACCTTTTACCTTTAAGATAAACTGGGTATTTCCCAAGTAAAAAACTCCCCCAAAAAACTCAAAATCTCAGTTCAACCATGACAGAGTCTTGCTACTAACTGCCAGCTGAAGTGACCAACCACTATCTGTCCCCCTGCAGAATATCCTTGCAATGGCTCCTCTAAGCCTCCAATCCAACATCAGGCAAAGGATGCAAGTGGTGAATCACTGACTGCCTGGCCATTTGTCCTAGAATTTGAAAAGTGAGGGGGAGGGGTTGGGGGGATCAAAGGAGCACTACTTGCTATGTCATACTGGACAATTTGCTTATGTTCCTACGTTCCTTAGAGTCTCTGTGAAACTCTGCAAGCCACTTAAAGTATTATCTCAACACACAGCCACAGATTGAATGTGCACCGTTTTCCATATAACCAACAAGAGCAGCCTCTGAAGTGCCATATATAGACTCTCAACAGAAATAAAAGCCCATAATTCCATGCTCTGACCATATCCAGTCCAGCTAAAAAAGAAAAATGAAAGAAAACACAGTATTTTTCAGGTAAATAGTTACAAAACTGACATTAGAAATGACCGTATAGCTTTTTATAGTAATTCATGTCTTCATTCTCTATCTGTAAAACGGCAATAAGAATATCTCTTCATCCAAAGCAATGTTCCAGAGATAAATTTAAATGGTTTTGAATCACTCAGATGCCACGTTGATTAATGCTGTAAAAAGAGCCCATTCGCAAATTAATAAATCTGCATCCAAAAGAGGGTTTGAGTGGCATACAATAAAAGCATTCTGGGGCTGAATACTGAGTAATGAAGATAAAACAGTACTCTGAACATCTGAACATGCACAGTCCATCTTCAGCAATGTATGAGGCAGGGTTCCAGGGGAAAAAAAAAAGGCATGCTTATACAATTAAAGACTCATAAAACATAAATACTATGCACAGATAACTGACTTTGGCATTTCTTCGCTTTTTGAGTGCTTCACTTTGAAACCTTAACATTCTTTTAATGTCTTCAATGTAATTTAAGCAAAGTGTAGTTCACTACTGCTCATTTTGTCAACAAACATATTTTCAGGCTTGCTGCAGTGCAACAAGCTCCTTGAGTATCACTTAAAACAAGAAGAAACAGTCCTTGCATGTTTAGAGGTCGACTGGCTCAAAAATTTCAACTTATATTAGCGCTGCACACTAGATTCATCAATTATTTTCCTCTTTTTTTGGTTTTAGATTTAGCGACAAGAGAACAGTGTGGCCCATGTTTCAGCCCACAGGCATTTGTCAGGAACAGAAAGGTCGGCAGGCCAAAAACATCAGTTTTGTTTCTTTCAGTCTCAAATTAGGCTTTTAGTGTGCACAAAGGACAATTCTGTCTCTGTGTTACTGGTTTGGGAATACTGCCAAAATCTTAATAGGTTCTACTTAATACAAAGACCTTCATATTCTGTGAAAACGTAGTCATTGCAATCAGTGAAATAAGCAACCTGCACGGCAACAGAAAGGAAGATGAACAGAACCTGGTTTTACAAACATACTTTTAGTACTGAAATATTTTTACAACATAAATAGATACCAGAAGCACGCAATCTGCATTCACAGAGAGAAAGCTGTTCTACTTGGGAATATTTCACAGGCATTCTTGGGAGAATGGAAATGTTAGTCAGTAAACTGTAATTCTCCCGGGTTCTTTTCCAGCAATGCCAAGAAGCCTTTAATGTGCTCTTGGTCAGCCTCCAGGGACAGACAAAAAGGACTTAAAAGTCTCAGCATGGAACAAAAGATGATATTCGGCTCACTAAACATAAGCCGGAATAGTACTTTGCGGATTTGAGTTTAAACTGAGACTTCTAACACGACAGCTAATCAGTACTGATTGTAAACCTCCAACTTCACTTACAGTCCAGCGTTCCCCAGGAAGTACGAACTGCATTAGGAACATTAATATGGATATTTTAGACACTGTCAGAGGCTCTATCAAATCCCCAAAGACAAATGCAGAATCAACAGGATACAGGGAAGAAGGAAAAGGAATGTGAAGTAGGGCTAAGGGGAAAAACAAAATAGTAATGATTTCAGATCATGTGAGATTTTGGGCAGCAGCAATCCTCAAGGGATGCTGGGAGCCACCAAACATCACAGGTCAGTCTTCCCCAGAACCTGGAATTCATGATAATTTTGATCAAATGTTCATAAACACAACGATGTGGCAAATTTGTCCCTAATATAACTACATAGGAATAAAGATTCACCTGGAGCAAGTATAGAAACATTAGCTGGCATGGAGTCTTAAGTACAGCAGTTTTCAGTTGAACAGCTTGATGTAGCTGGCTGGATGTCTAGATTACCAAAAATAGTTTTCTGGACACTAATAATGTTGAACTAGACTATGTCTCTGCCTTCTTATATGTTGTTGAAATAAATCCAAACAATGCAAAGGTGATGTCTAGGACAGAAAAGACACTTCTTCATCTAAGTAAATTTTTGCAGTGGCCATTTAAGAAGCTTGTCTCCATTTCTTCCCAGTTTATATATATATATATATATGTGTATAAACACAGAAAATCATACTATCAGAACCACCAAAGGAAGAAAAGTGTCAAAAATAATGAGTTTTCAAGGCAACACCACAGAAAAAAAGAAAACTAGACCTACTACCTCTCTAAGATGTCATACTGCTGAGTGTGACCACCAAGGTTTAAAAGGACGTGGAGCAAACACTTGTACCAGACAGTAAACTGAGATTTCTGAAGGACAGTGAAAAGCAAGAGCTGTTTTTTCTTAAAAGACTTGCAGATATAAAATTGGACAGAAGCCATTTAAAAAACATTCCATTTGCCAAATTACCACGTTGTGGCATCACATGTCAGTGCAAAGTTATTGCTGGCAAATGCCGACTGCTCTGTGACGACTCCTTCATCCTTATGAAATGCATCAATCATCTTTCAGGAACAAAAGCTGGTAAATCATGTATTTATAGTCAATTCTAGGCAGAAATGGATGAAAGATTGCTTCCTGTAAAACTTTCTGTCTTTGAATAAGAACTTCTGAAGATCGGAGAAATATTAAAATGACAAATTAGAACATAAAGAGCACACTTACAAAGATAATGAGGAAAGTTAAAGCACGCACACAAGCCACCGAGCCTTCCAGTTCTGCTTTTCCATAATTAGATTAACAACTCCTGTGGCTGCCATCTCCAATCATCACTTAGATTATCAACTGGACGACAGCCAAGGCTCTAATTGCTGCACAGAAGCAAAGTTACTATTACAATAAACTTACTTAATTCTGTGTGACAGCTTACAAGCTTTTCCCCACACAGCACTGGCTCTTATAGACAACTTTGCATTCCTGTTACCTGTAACCACTTCTTTTCTTGAAAAAGGTGGTTTCGTTTTGAGGCTGAAACCTGCATCCTCTCTTGATAAGTGGATCTCAAAAGTTTACGTTCGTTTTCGTGCCAAAGCTGGGTTTCTTCATGTCTAACCCTTTGAAAACAAATGACAAAAGCTAAAAATTAGTATTATTGCTGAGTATCGACGTCTCAAAGATTAAACAGATCGGAATGCTACATGTTATCTTCAGAGCAATAACACTCCATCACCAGAATCATTACATCTTAAACAGATACAGTTAAAGAACAAGAGATTTTTTCCTTGGCATATCCTCCTTTATTATCTCAAACATTTACACTGTTTCTACAACACGCTGAAGAAGGAAAAAGAAAAACTTGTATAGCTTCAGGCTTCACCCAGCTTTTTCATATTTTAGAAATTTATCCATCACTGCCTCGAAAGAGACAAAACTAAGGCATGTAATTTCTATCAATACAGAGAAAAATCTCTCTTAGACAGAAGTTAAGAAACTTGCCAAAGCCATTTTTGCAGCTTCTGTCAGCTTTTGGAGACTGCATTAGAGATCATCTGGAGTGTTTGCTTCACGATGCCAAATTTTACTTCTCTCTTGCACAGCGAGTTCTTTCAAAATCGCAGTCAGTGGGATTCCTCACAGTGGTCGGTACAACCCTCGGCTGTAAATCTTTGCATGATTGGACCCCAAGGTAATCAGTGCATTACTTTAAGTGTTGAGTCTATAATGAGCCTCTCGGAATGCACCTGCAAACAAGGCAGACCTATTTTGTTTGCATGCTCCTGCATAAGGGCGTGAGCACTTGCAAGGCCAGTTGTATTTCTATGTCTACCTCTGGAGACAAGCGCGTGCATTTCCACACAAAGGGTACAGATGCATTTCAGTATCGTGTTTAAAACAATACTCAGTCTCAAAAAAAGGATGTTTTCGAAGCATGACTTCCCATTGTAATCTTGTAAAGCAAATACACCCACATGCCACAAACAAAACATGCAACACAAGTCTGGTTTAAGCATGATAAATCACACAATTTCAGTGTCCATGCACAGCTGTTTAACAAGCACGTAGAACAAGATGTTCTCGTCTCTTCTGCAGGACTACCAGAAGACAAACATGCTTTATTCCCTCTCTGTGGGCCAAAGAAAGCACTGAAAGGGCAAAATAAAACCCTGGCACTATAATAAATGTCATTAATACTTAAAACAAAATAGACAAAATGGTAGTGTAACTGTATTTCTGTAATTAAAAAAACAGATCAAAGAGACACCTGTATTATGAGGTGCTAGGCCACCACTGTGTATGGATTACAGATTGCTGTGGCTCCAACTGACCACACTTCCCAGCAGCTCTGGAACTGCCTTCTTTTAGTAAAAGCTGCATCTTTCCGAGAGCTGTACGCAACAGAAATTTTGACTGGCTGGTCAAAATTTAGAAAACATTCCACAATGAACCTAGATTGTTCTCAGAACCTCTTTGGAAATCCCATGTACATCTGCTTACTTGGTACTGAGAGAGAAACAAGATCATCCACAGCCAGGCTGCAAGAGGCTTTGAGCAACCTGGTCTAGTGGAGGGGTCTCCCTAAGGGGGTTGGAACTAGATGGTCTTTAAGGTCCCTTCCAACCCAAACCATTCTGTGATGATTCTATGATCGGCCTCATTTCACCAAACCTGGGTGAACACAGTACTTGTTCCTAAGCTACACATAACTAAACCTGGATCCTACCACCTGCCCCAATATCCTCTGTCAACACCAAATGCATTCACCTAAAAATTAATCTCTTAATTTAATTAGTTAGAACAAGGGCATGAATTTCAGTCCGATGTATTAAACAAAACCTGCCATACACACTTTTCATTTAAGAATTTTTTTATTTGAAAAAAGATGAGATTGGCTTAACTACAATAAAACTGCAATGACCTGGTCTCCTGGGGCTAGTCTCATCATCTTTTTAATTTTCCAGGTAAAAAAAATAATTTTTGATATATTGTGTTTGTTCCAACCCCAAATGAAAATAAATTTTCCTTGAGAGGTGGTCATGTTTTTCACGCTGTACTATCTAAAAATACTGTTGGAACAGAAAAATTTTAACCACCCCTATTGAAGACAATGGGTACACCTGCTGCATTGACAAGAGAGTCAGACCACAGACAAAGTGGTGTGAAAGGCTACAAGAATCAAGCAGGAAAAAGAAAGGGTTTCACAACAACAGTCAAACTCAATCCCAAAGAAAGGAACGTGCACAAGACAGAAAAGTGAAGAGGATATTCATCTGACCCTGAAGAATGGCACTGTGCTCAGACCTGCACAAAGAGAAGAGTTACAGATACAATCACCCAAAGAACAGGAACAATTCCATAAGTGCATGCATTTATATATAATATATGTATCTCATATATAGAAAATACTATTATATATACACATATATAAATAAAATATATACACATTATATAGGAAAAATTAAGCAGACTATATATTTCAAGGATGCTTCAGTGACTCAATTTCTATGACACTGAAGACAACAGCACCCCTAAAGCTTAAATCATTATTGCAAATTAATGCATAGAAAGAACACACCTTAATGACAAAATAGAGAATATTGTATCCTAATCTTCAAGGAATGATAAAACAGCTACTTAGGTCATCAAAGGTAGAAGGAAACAGCTCTGAGGGAGTGCAGTTTGTTTTAAACCTGCCTCATAACTTAAAAGTTTAAATAGAAGTTAAAAATACCGTTAACAGTCTCGAATCTCACAGTAAAATCCTACTATCTGTACTGATTTTATTTAATTTTCATGTATATCAAAAATTACACCCAAATGTAATGACTAGCACACTGTAGCCTTTATATGTACAAGCTGCCAGAAAACAAGAGGGTTTTTTCCTGTCCTTTGTGCTACTGCATTTCAGAATAGCTTCCCATACCTACAGAGAATCCTCCTACTTCTTAACAACAGTAACCAGTAGCACAGCTGAAGAAAGACCTAGAAATGGAGGCAAGTTTTTCTTCCTAAGCTAACTACCTCCCTTGGGTCACCCAATGTATCCCACATTCCCCCAATCTTTGAGGTTGTTATCCCTTCAAGAGAAAGCTGAGAATTTATTTTTGTGACTTTGTACAGTGTTGAGCACGTTACTGCCATCTAACAAGTGATGCATAAAAGGAAGCTCCCTAAGACCTATGCATATCAAAAAAGAATCTGTTTTTACTTTATATTTAAATATCCTTTCATTGCCTGAAAAGGAACATCAGAATTAACTCCACAGGGAACCACTGCTCAAGCTGCCTTGCTGTTGTATGCTCAAGCTGCCGTGTCAAGGCTTCAATCCCATTCCCACTCAACATCAGTAAGAAAAGTTCCATTTAATTCACCAGTTCACCACGATCAATGTTTTTCAGGGCAATTCTGAAAGAATGTAGAAACTAAAAAAAAGGGGTGGTGGGATGTGTGGGGGGTGTATTTTCTTCAACAAGCTCCATATTGATATGTCAGAAGGTCTTTAGAACTCTATTAAAATTATTCATAAACTGTATTCCACATTGTGAGGAAAACAGAAGTGTCATTTTACATAAAAGGAACCAACACACTTACCGACAATCAGCAGCCCAGCGCAACACTTCTTGAACCTGGGTAACAAATCTATCCAAAAAATTGCTAATTGATGGATGCCTTGATGGAAGCTGAAATTTCAAAGAATTTTTTTCTTTCTCCATTTCTTCCAGTTTCCGTCTAAATTTATCGGCTGGAAATTAGGAAAAAAAAAAAAAATTGGGAAAGAGGTTACTTAGCAGTTACATAAAGGTTCCATTTTACCCGAAGAAGAAAAGAGGTCAATGAACAAAAAGTAAAATCCATCTCACACACAGTTCTTCTCCTTTTGATAAAATATCAGTCTGTTTTGCTGAAGGACGAATTACTAAGACTACAGTGGAAAACATCAGATAACCAGGATGTTCAGCTACTTTCTTCTGTGACAAGGACAAAACTGCAGGCTTCCCAGCACTTTCAGAGTTTTAATTTGGTAAGACTCCAAAGAATTGGCTCAAAGTTATCATCTAAACCAGGGAGGTTTAGATTAGATATCAGGAAGAAATTCTTCACAGAGAGGGTGGTGAGGCACTGGAACAGGTTGCCCAGAGATGTTGTGGATGCCCCATCCCTGGAAGTGTTCAAGGCCAGGCTGGATGAGGCTTTGAGCAACCTGGTCTAGTGGAAGGTGTCCCTGCCCATGGCAGGGGGGTTGGAACTAGATGATCTTTAAGGTCCCTTCCAACCCAAAACCATTCTATGATTCTATGATTTGTTCTCTTTTCCTAGAGCTCTGAACTGAATGCTAAGAAAACTCCTACTCTTCACTGCTTCAGTTTTAAAACAATCTTAGATGGCAGTTACATGTTTAAAGTCTGACCATTTCAAAAATTGCATCGTTATTAGGTCAAGAACTGAAGAATCACATATGATATCTCAGCAATATATTTCAGCAGAAAATACACATGCATTTATTGGAATTAAATAACTATCTCAGAGATTCACACAGAGTGGTAGGGATTGGAAGGGACTTCTAGAGATCATCCAGTCCAACCCCCCTGCCAGACACATTGACCACAACCCCCTGAGCTGTTTCCTTCAGCTAGCTCCCAATCCACCTCACCACCCAATGATCCAGTCCGCACTTCCTAAGCTTGGCTATGAAGATGCCATGGGAAACTGTATCAAAAGCTTTGCTGAAGTCAAGGTAGAACACATCCACTGCCTTCCCCTTGCCTATCCATCTAGTGATGCCACCATAAAACGCTTTCAGATTGGTCAAACAAGTGTGACTTCCCCTTGTTGAATCTCATTCCAGGCTCTCCTGAAGTATGCTTACTTTAATATCCATTAAAGATTAACTTTCAACTTTAAATTCACAGTGGTCCTTAAGAGAGTGCTTTGACTCTACCATAACCACAAATTTCTTAGAGCGAACACTTCTCTGTATTAGTTCTTACTTGGCTTTCTTTCCCTGTGTAGAAAACAAAGGAACATAGTTCTAATTACAAATTAATATTTCTGATATGTATATCCTCTGTAGTGCCAGTATACTAGGAAAATCACATATATAACAGATAACAAGCCTGGCTAGTCCAACACCTTTGATGATACATTAGTCAAATCAGAGAGTTTTGAGCTAGCCCACAAATGGAAAACCTTTACAGTTCAGTACTTTCCTCATGACCTTGCTGCCTACAATTCTGCATGATTGGCATTGCTTCCCTTCTAGCATTTTCAATACAACATATGACTATCAGAATAACATCTATCTGTGCCTGCTTTTTACTGCTTATTTTCTTTCTTTATCCTCAAAGGAGTTTTAAGAAGAGTGGTTGTTTACATTTGCTGCTTTGGTGAAATGATCCATTTTTACAATAACCTATCATCATTATTGATCTCTCTTCTGCGCCTATGGGATGGAATAAAGACACAGAACATATTAATGAGACTAGATTTTCTCCCTAGGCCAGTAGGCCATTCCTGGGTTGTTAAACCCATGTTGCTGTTGTTATTATTAACGTGCAAAATGCTATCAAAATGCTCCAGCTGAAATGATCACAACCAAAGTTACTGCCAGGTCCAGGCCTTGCCCAACAACCACGCGTACATGTGTGCATGCTCTTCCTTGGAAAGGAGAAGCACCTTTTCAGCAGTGGAATTGATGCACTCGCATTTTGCATAGAATTTCAAACACAGCCATCAAAAATATCACTGTTACAAACACAAAAGTAAGAGTTGGGTTGTGACCAATGGCCAGTGAATACCAAAACATGTGGAACCACCTCCTTTTACTCAAACCATTCACCACTGGGCTTCCTGTGCTACCCGAGCAGGAGTTATAGCAACCCTCCTACAGCCAGTCATCGACACCGTCATTGTTCTTCAACATCATTATGGTCACGCTGTGTTTGTACGTCCATTTGTTTCATCATTCTATTCCTACCCATCCTGGCCCTAGAAACAGGCTATTTTGGGAAGGAAAACAGATGAGGGGATCCACAAGCCAATTCATTCTCTCTCATTAATTCTTGGCTGTGTCCTGCTTTATATATTCCAGTCTACACAGAATTCAATTAGTTTCCACTAACAGACATTTCCAAATAATCTGTTTCGCTTGCATTTTTACGTACTAAAAATGCAAGCGAAACGCTGGCCACCTCTCATCACTAAATGATCTTTTCTCCTTTCAGCACTGCGGTTAGGGGTTACATCTCAAGACACCCCAGCACCACTGAGCTGAACAATGAGGCTCAGCTTTTAGACTCCTCTCCTGGAACGGAGATGTCTCAGTTTAACCTGGCTGATGCCTTCAGTGCATGGAGAGACCAAGGCATCTCAGCTCCAGCTGCAGAGCAGGGAAGCAAATAAGGCTCATCTCAGTCCAGCTTTCAGCACTGCAGCTCAAGAGGCGTCTGGATCAAGCAGAAGTAATGGAAATGATAGAAGTCTAGCAAATAGGACATGTGAAAAAACAGAGCAACACACAGGGTTCCTAGCTCCAGTGGAGATAAAGACAGGGGAGTAACTTCTAGTGTTATTGCATACCAGGAAACTGCAAAGAAAGCTTTTCACCTCCTCTCAGAACTTGAGACCTCGGTAACAAATCTGAGTCACAGAAAAGGAGATGAGGAAAAGCGTTAGAGATAGTAAAGCACTAAAACTAACTGCTTGGGACGGCCAGGAAATCTCCACCAGTGTTGGTTTTCAGATCAAACAGCTCTGAAGAATAGCTCTGGCATAGTTTTTAAGGTTGAGGCCAGCAACACCAAATGAGACCCCTTCCCATCATATTTTTTAGGATTTTCCAGCCAAGAAGAAGATCCAGAAGGACTTTGCTACTCCTAAAATACCAGACTCGAGGACACCATTTTCTTTTACCTTGATTTCAGTCTTTTAAGCATGTCATTTCAACACAGAAAAGACCTTTGCAGAATCCCAGAGCTCACCGATGCACTGAGACCAAAAGAAACCACACACACTCAGATTATAGAATCATAGAACCTTTTAGGTTGCAAATAACCCTTAAGATCATCAAGTCCAACCGTTAACCAACACTGCCAAGTCCACCACTAAACCATGTCCCTGAGCACCTTGTTCACACATCTCAAACACCTCCAGGGGATAGAGACTCAACCACTTACCTGGGCAGCCTGTTCCAATGCCTGATAGCCCTTTCAGTGAAGAAGTTTTTTCCTAATACCCAATCTAAATCTCCCCTGCCACAACTTGAAGCAGTTTCCCCTTGTCCTACTGCTTGTTATTTGGGAGAAGAGATCAACACCCATCTCTCTGCAACCTCCTTTCAGACACCTGCATCACACACAAAGGCTTAATACTTTGTTCTTCTGTCCCATACTTCACCTCAAAATAAGTCGTTTCACACACAGCTTTGAAACAAAAACCAAACTCCCCTATTAGATGAAGTTCTTAAATGAAGGAACTTCAGTTTATTCAGTACAAATTGTTTTACAGACAAGCATTTGGAATAAGGTTTAATCCTCTTTACCAGCCTTTTATTTCACTGTATTCTGTTGCTAGCTTGCTGCTTTGCAGAAGTTCTACGGAGACCCTAGACAAAGCTTCTACTCCAGAGCAAACAGCAAAAGTCAACATTTAAATTACCCTCCATCCCAATCTGTTACTGCCTGGTGCACTTCAGACATCCCACTCAATTTAAAGCCAACCCGGAGTGCAGGCCTGGAAGATGCTGACTAACTGCTGTTCTCAATTAAACAGAGAGCAGCCAGAGAAGTACAGTGTCTTCAAATATCATGTTTCGTAATGACTTTGAGCAGAGGAAGCAATTTCCATAATTTTTCATGGACCATATGAGAACATTTGGCTACCTCTCTACTTTCTATCATATTCTGATATTGGGTTTATTCCCTTGAAGAGAAAGTTCACTTTATCAAGACTATTTATCATCATTTTAAAAACATTTAAGAAAATCATCACAGTAAGGGTAGAACCTCATTTGCCACACACTGTATATATTTATGTTCATTTATGTCTGTTCTTTACTGATAGGTGGGAAAATGATCAATTGTGCTATTCTACAAATTGCTGGACTTTAATAAAGTGTTTCTTCAGCTAGTTCAAATAGAGAATACTGGGAACACCACCCTCATCCCTCTTTCCCACTGAAGGATCTGAACCAAGATTTGTGCAGTTTACATGTGTAAATCACACACTGCAGCCCTAAAGTATTTTTCTTACTTGCTAGATACTTCAAGAGCCAGGTAACCCCCCTGCATTCATCATCTTAAAAACTTAAAGCTCCCAAAATGACTCAAGTGTTTTTGTATACTGAGCATCAGAGAGATGGTTACCTATTTTGTAAGAATTAAAGAAGTCCCAGTGTTAGATCCGAAGAGCCCTCTATCAGTCTGTCTCCAACCACACAGAAGAGCGAGCCTTCAGAGAAAGGACTAAGAACCAGAGTGGAAAGTGCCCCTTTACCTTGATATTGCTCCTGAACCTCTAATGTTTGTCAGCTGAAAGACCTCCTGAGCAAGACATTATTCCTAGATCATGTCACTGCTTTGACGTGAAAGGGGGGGAAGGAGAAAAAAGATCATCAACAGGTGAACATCTCCACCAGAAACTTTTCCCAGGTTACCTATGCTTTTCGTCTCCAAAATATACTATGACAGAATTTCAAAATGGAATAATGAATTATATAAACACATACCCCATCTGATAATTTTAAAC